AATTCAGTTTTTGTAGGTTGACTTTCAAAATTTTTTATGTTGCTGTTTTCTGCTGGAAAAATTTGAAATTTTGGGAAAATGAGCTTTTCACCTTCCTCTTTACATGCAAAAAGTTTTAAAGTTTTCCCGGCACTAGTTTTCCAGGAAAACTTTGAAATGTGTGAGACTGTATTTTCAACTAATTCAGTTTTTGTAGAATGATTCCCAAGATTTTTCATGTTACTGTTTTTTACTGGAAAAATTTGAAACTTTGGGAAAATGAGCTTCTCGCACCTTCCTCTTTACTCGCAAAAAGTTTCAAAATTTTCCCTTCACTAGTTTTCCAGGAAAACTTTGAAATGTGTGAGACTCTATTTTCAATTAATTCATTTATTATAGGTTGATTTCCAAGATTTTTCATGTTGCTGTTTTCTACTGGAAAAATTTGAAATTTTGGGAAAATAAGCGTCTTACCTTCCTCTCTATATGTAAAAAGTTTCAAAATTTTGTCTTCACTAGTTTTCCAGAAAAACTCTGAAATATGTGAGACTGTATTTTCAATTAATTCAGTTATTATATATGAGTTGATTTCCAATATTCCTTATGTTGTTATTTTCCACTAGAAAAATTTGAAATTTTGGGAAAGTAAGCTTCTCACCTTCCTTTTTACATGCAAAAAGTTTCAAAATGTTCCCTTCACTAGTTATTTAGAAAAACTTTGAAATGTGTGAGATTGTATTTTCAACTAATTCAGTTTTTGTAGGTTGACTTCCAAGATTTATCATGTTGCTGTTTTCTACTGGAAAAATTTAAAATTTTGGGAAAATAAGCTTCTCACCTTCCTTTTTACATGCAGAAAGTTTCAAAATGTTCCCTTCACTAGTTTTTTAGAAAAACTTTGAAATGTGTGAGATTGTATTTTCAACTAATTCAGTTTTTGTAGGTTGACTTTCAAAATTTTTTATGTTGCTGTTTTCTGCTGGAAAAATTTGAAATTTTGGGAAAATGAGCTTTTCACCTTCCTCTTTACATGCAAAAAGTTTTAAAGTTTTCCCTGCACTAGTTTCCCAGGAAAACTTTGAAATGTGTGAGACTGTATTTTCAACTAATTCAGTTTTTGTAGGTTGACTTCCAAGATTTATCATGTTGCTGTTTTCTACTGGAAAAATTTGAAATTTTGGGAAAATAAGCTTCTCACCTTCCTTTTTACATGCATAAAGTTTCAAAATGTTCCCTTTACTAGTTTTTTAGAAAAACTTTGAAATGTGTGAGATTGTATTTTCAACTAATTCAGTTTTTGTAGGTTGACTTCCAAGATTTATCATGTTGCTGTTTTCTACTGGAAAAATTTGAAATTTTGGGAAAATAAGCTTCTCACCTTCCTTTTTACATGCAAAAAGTTTCAAAATGTTCCCTTCACTAGTTTTTTAGAAAAACTTTGAAATGTGTGAGATTGTATTTTCAACTAATTCAGTTTTTGTAGGTTGACTTCCAAAATTTTTCATGTTGCTGTTTTCTGCTGGAAAAATTTGAAATTTTGGAAAAATGAGCTTTTCACCTTCCTCTTTACATGCAAAAAGTTTTAAATCTTTCCCTGCACTAGTTTTCCAGGAAAACTTTGAAATGTGTGAGACTGTATTTTCAACTAATTCAGTTTTTGTAGAATGATTCCCAAGATTTTTCATGTTGCTGTTTTTCACTGGAAAAATTTGAAACTTTGGGAAAATGAGCTTCTCGCACCTTCCTCTTTACTCGCAAAAAGTTTCAAAATTTTCCCTTCACCAGTTTTCCAGGAAAACTTTGAAATGTGTGAGACTCTATTTTCAATTAATTCATTTATTATAGGTTGATTTCCAAGATTTTTCATGTTGCTGTTTTCTACTGGAAAAATTTGAAATTTTGGGAAAATGAGCGTCTCACCTTCCTCTCTGTATGCAAAAAGTTTCAAAATTTTGTCTTCACTAGTTTTCCAGAAAAACTCTGAAATATGTGAGACTGTATTTTCAATTAATTCAGTTATTATATATGAGTTGATTTCCAATATTCCTCATGTTGTTATTTTCCACTAGAAAAATTTGAAATTTTGGGAAAGTAAGCTTCTCACCTTCCTTTTTACATGCAAAAAGTTTCAAAATGTTCCCTTCACTAGTTATTTAGAAAAACTTTGAAATGTGTGAGATTGTATTTTCAACTAATTCAGTTTTTGTAGGTTGACTTCCAAGATTTATCATGTTGCTGTTTTCTACTGGAAAAATTTGAAATTTTGGGAAAATAAGCTTCTCACCTTCCTTTTTACATGCAAAAAGTTTCAAAATGTTCCCTTCACTAGTTTTTTAGAAAAACTTTGAAATGTGTGAGATTGTATTTTCAACTAATTCAGTTTTTGTAGGTTGACTTCCAAGATTTATCATGTTGCTGTTTTCTACTGGAAAAATTTGAAATTTTGGGAAAATAAGCTTCTCACCTTCCTTTTTACATGTAAAAAGTTTCAAAATGTTCCCTTCACTAGCTTTTTAGAAAAACTTTGAAATGTGTGAGATTGTATTTTCAACTAATTCAGTTTTTGTAGAATGATTCCCAAGATTTTTCATGTTGCTGTTTTTCACTGGAAAAATTTGAAACTTTGGGAAAATGAGCTTCTCGCACCTTCCTCTTTACTCGCAAAAAGTTTCAAAATTTTCCCTTCACTTGTTTTCCAGGAAAACTTTGAAATGTGTGAGACTCTATTTTCAATTAATTCCTTTATTATAGGTTGATTTCCAAGATTTTTCATGTTGCTGTTTTCTACTGGAAAAATTTGAAATTTTGGGAAAATGAGCGTCTCACCTTCCTCTCTGTATGCAAAAAGTTTCAAAATTTTGTCTTCACTAGTTTTCCAGAAAAACTCTGAAATATGTGAGACTGCATTTTCAATTAATTCAGTTATTATATATTAGTTGATTTCCAATATTCCTCATGTTGTTATTTTCCACTAGAAAAATTTGAAATTTTGGGAAAGTAAGCTTCTCACCTTCCTTTTTACATGCAAAAAGTTTCAAAATGTTCCCTTCACTAGTTTTTTAGAAAAACTTTGAAATGTGTGAGATTGTATTTTCAACTAATTCAGTTTTTGTAGATTGACTTTCAAAATTTTTTATGTTGCTGTTTTCTGCTGGAAAAATTTGAAATTTTGAGAAAATGAGCTTTTCACCTTCCTCTTTACATGCAAAAAGTTTTAAAGTTTTCCCTGCACTAGTTTTCCAGGAAAACTTTGAAATGTGTGAGACTGTATTTTCAACTAATTCAGTTTTTGTAGAATGATTCCCAAGATTTTTCATGTCACTGTTTTTTACTGGAAAAATTTGAAACTTTGGGAAAATGAGCTTCTCGCACCTTCCTCTTTACTCGCAAAAAGTTTCAAAATTTTCCCTTCACTAGTTTTCCAGGAAAACTTTGAAATGTGTGAGACTCTATTTTCAATTAATTCATTTATTATAGGTTGATTTCCAAGATTTTTCATGTTGCTGTTTTCTACTGGAAAAATTTGAAATTTTGGGAAAATAAGCGTCTTACCTTCCTCTCTATATGTAAAAAGTTTCAAAATTTTGTCTTCACTAGTTTTCCAGAAAAACTCTGAAATATGTGAGACTGTATTTTCAATTAATTCAGTTATTATATATGAGTTGATTTCCAATATTCCTTATGTTGTTATTTTCCACTAGAAAAATTTGAAATTTTGGGAAAGTAAGCTTCTCACCTTCCTTTTTACATGCAAAAAGTTTCAAAATGTTCCCTTCACTAGTTATTTAGAAAAACTTTGAAATGTGTGAGATTGTATTTTCAACTAATTCAGTTTTTGTAGGTTGACTTCCAAGATTTATCATGTTGCTGTTTTCTACTGGAAAAATTTGAAATTTTGGGAAAATAAGCTTCTCACCTTCCTTTTTACATGCAAAAAGTTTCAAAATGTTCCCTTCACTAGTTTTTTAGAAAAACTTTGAAATGTGTGAGATTGTATTTTCAACTAATTCAGTTTTTGTAGGTTGACTTTCAAAATTTTTTATGTTGCTGTTTTCTGCTGGAAAAATTTGAAATTTTGGGAAAATGAGCTTTTCACCTTCCTCTTTACATGCAAAAAGTTTTAAAGTTTTCCCGGCACTAGTTTTCCAGGAAAACTTTGAAATGTGTGAGACTGTATTTTCAACTAATTCAGTTTTTGTAGAATGATTCCCAAGATTTTTCATGTTACTGTTTTTTACTGGAAAAATTTGAAACTTTGGGAAAATGAGCTTCTCGCACCTTCCTCTTTACTCGCAAAAAGTTTCAAAATTTTCCCTTCACTAGTTTTCCAGAAAAACTCTGAAATATGTGAGACTGTATTTTCAAATAATTTAGTTATTGTAGATTGATTTCCAATATTCCTCATGTTGTTATTTTCCACTAGAAAAATTTGAAATTTTGGAAAAATGAGCTTTTCACCTTCCTCTTTACATTCAAAAAGTTTCAAAATGTTTCCTTCACTAGGAAAACTTTGAAATGTGTGAGACTCTATTTTCAATTATTTCAGTTATTGTAGGTTGATTTCCAAGATTATTCATGTTGCTGTTTTCTACTGGAAAACTTTAAAATTTTGGGAAAATGATCTTCTCACCTTCCTCTTTACATGCAGAAAGTTTCTAAATTTTCTTTTTTTTAGAGGAATTTATAAGGTATTTGGAGAAGTTCATGGTGGGGTATTTGGAGGAATTTGCAGGAATTTTGAGAAATTATGTGAAAAAAAATCCCTTTGAGGAATTGTTTGCACCAATTCTGGGATTGTGGTTTACCCCTTGGTTTAAATGAAGAACATTCAAGAACCTGGAATAGAAACAACATGCTCATCTCTATAATTGCCTACTAATTTTTTTCCCAAATAAAAAGAAATATACCTATTTTTATATCTAGAGAAATGAAGAGAAATTTCTAGAGAGACATTTTCAAATAAATTACTGTACAAAGCATTCTCCTAAGGTTTACCCCCTTCAACAAATCCATTCTCTTACCTCAAACTTATGTATAGACAAAATACAGGGTGCTGCCATTTTAGCAGTAAAAAACACGTTATTCAACTTTGACTCATTTTGAGCGTAAACATTAGCAGAAAGATCTGAATTATTGACCCGAAAATGATTCATTCCTTCCGTTTTAGCCAGAGAGCTTAATCAAAACATCTTCGCCACAACCTTCTTCGCCTTGCACTAGAAATATTGGTTTCAACTTCAAATTTTCTAAAAGATAAAATTTCATAACTTACCCATCACCACAGTCATCAAAAATGTCAATAATAATTGTTGTCAAAGTTTAATTAAATCCATTATATAAAAAATTACCAGTGTGAAGCAATAAGAAATGTCCCAGTCGCATAAAGAAAAGATTAACCTGGAAGAATCTCGTATACAAAAACTAGCAGAGCCAAGGAAATATTATCAGGCTGTTAAAAAAAAAGGCAGTCACAAAATCAAAAAATCAACGATGCAGTATAAGGCCTCAGCTAGAATAAAATATCTAGCCAAACCCAAACATGTAAACGAGAAGAAATCTATTAACAAACGAACTGAGTCAATTTCTGAACCAATAACAGTTGTCAGCAAAAGCGCAATGAATTATAATCCGACAAAAAGGATTTTGGAGTTGGCAAAGCCTAAGCATGTTACAAAGCGTATGAATGTAGTTTTTTTTGCATAAAATCCAAGGCCTTTTCAAAATCTAAATTATTCCTATCTGCGTGATAAACCATCTTCAAAATAAAACCCGTTGGTTTTGTTGGCAACAAGCTTCAAATCAACTTCATGGTAAATAGTTGATGGCGTTTTTCTCTAAAATCCATTGCAAGATTTTTTTCTCTGTTTGAATCAGTGGGTGCGTTTATTTCAAATATTTCCAAAAATATTCGTTTGAGTTCTGGAACAATGGTTTTGGAGTTGGTGCAGCAAAATACGATAACAGAATGTTGGTTGTTTATAGTTTATGAAGAAGTTGATCAGTCTGGGATCGTATTGGCCTTCGGAGTTTTTACCGAAATTCTACAACCAAGATTTTGCTTATCAATGGAATCTGAGGGTTAAACCACAGAGTAATTGTGTTGTACAGAATTGGATGCGGAATTCACTTTGAAGTTATAAATTTTTGTCTATTCCCAGCTCTTGAATTATTGTTTGCTTCGAAATGTGTTTAGATAAAGAGAATTCGAGAGCCTGGAATAGAAAATCATCGAGTTTTTGACTCAATTTTGGCAGTTTTCGTGCATTTCCAGTTCAAATTCAAGATTTTTGAGATTCTCCATGCCAAAACTCAGCTCTACCAGGTTCAAAAATTACCCTGGTAAACGGCTCTTGATTAAATTTAATTGAAAAATGATGTTCAGTTGCTTTGAATTTTTGGTATATCCTGCTCTAATGTCTTATAAGATACCAGAAAATTTCATATTTGTGGCTTTTATAGTTTTTGAGATATTACCCCACCCCATTTATGTAAGATTGTCATATTTTATTCCTTCAAAAACTATGTATTCATGTAAATCCCTCTGTAATTTTTGTGTCCTTTATTCGATTGCTTTGGATTTTTAGTATATCCTGCTCTAATGGTTTATGAAAGATACCAAAAAATTTCATATTTGTGGCTTTTATAATTTTTGAAAAATTACCCCATTTATGTAAGATTGTCATATTTCATTTCTTCAAAAATTATGTGTTTCTATAAATCACTTTGTAACTTTTGTGCCCTTTGTTTATTTGCTTCGAATTTTTGGTATGTCCTGCTCTAATGTCTTGTAAAGGATACCAGAAAATTAAATTTTCGTATCTTTAATAGGTTTCGAGAAATTACCTTATTATGTAAGATAATCATATTTTATTCCTTCGAAAACTACCTATGTAGGTACCTATTTGTATAAATCACTTTGTAACTTTTGTGTCCTTTGTTCAATTGCTTTGAATTTTTGGTATGTCCTGCTGTAATATTTTATAAAGGGTAAGGGTAAAAGCTAAAGTTAATTCAACTAGAATAGCATTAAAATCTTATTCCCGGCTCTCCTAAATCCAAAAATAAACCAGAGAAGTTAAAATACCAGAAATATTTTGGAACCTTCCAGAAATGTTTTAAACTGTGAACACAAACCTTTAAGACCCACAGGCATTTTAGGACGTTTTAGAACAGAACAGATAGATACAGCGATTCAGTCATTTTAAAATGCTCCAAAATCAATTTAGGAATTTCAAGAATATTTGAAACTATATTCCAGATCCGATGAACGTGTGTCCAACATAACCCATTTTGTAAACTCTTTTTTCTAGAACTCATTCAATGCATTTTAGAACACTTTAGATCCAATTTAGTCAGTGTAGAGCATGCAAACGATGCAGACTATTTAGAATACTCCATAAGCTATTTTGACATTAAAAGAACATTAAAGAGTACAAACAAGTGGATTATTACAGAACTTATGGGTAGACCTCTACTCAGCCATCTACTCACCAATATACTGGTTGAACTGTTCAAATAAGACACTCACTTGAAACGTGTAGTTTTTGAACTATTGAGAAAAATTCATAACTGAATGAATCAGGTTAGTATTGTACTTGAACAACATATTGATGAATAGATGGCTGGGTCTACCCGTAAGTTTCGCAACAATTCACTCGTTTGTACTCGAATAACTTGTTACATTATGTTCCTAGTTTGGTAAAGTAACATTACTAATTTCTGTTGAAAGACAAATTGACAAAAAGTGGATAATCTTACAAATTTTCACTGTATATAATAAGTTATTATTCGAGTACAAATAAGTGAAATATTGCAGCAATCTGCCCTGCCTTCAATACCAGAAAATCAAAAAGGGGTTCAGGAAAACTCAATGCCCGAATTGCCCATACCATCACCGAATTCGTAGAGAAAAGAATATGATGTAGAACATTCCGAAGTAGGTACATTTAGCTTCTAGCCCAAATTCTGAGATACTATTATATTCTGTTGTCTTTTTTATGTTACCTTTACTTAAACCATGGGCTTGTTGGAAGACCAAATTCAATTTCTCCTAAATCTGCTCTCTCCATTTCTCAATTTTCTGTCTCAATTTTTGTCTATCATAACATCATTCTAAAATTTAAAATTTTATCTCCTCATTTTTGAATTCTTCAGTTCCAATGTTTGTCTATTTCAGGCTCTTGAATTTCTTTTTTCTTCAAACTTCTCCAAATAGAGAAAATTCAGAAGAACCATTTTTCTTGTCAATATTATCTCAATTATTCTTGAATTTCCTCTTTCGATTTCTCAATTTTTATCCATTTCAAGCATTTAAACTTTTGTTTTCATAGAAATTTCTCTAGACAGAAAAAATTCAAGAGCCAATAATGGAAAAAGAATAATTTTATTCACCAGTGTTTTCTCAAGTATTCCTGAATCTGCTCTCTTTATTTCTCAATTTTCTGTCTATTCCAAGCTCTTGAATTTATGTTTTTTTTTTTTTTTAATTAGAATATGGGAAATTCATAAGCCAGTAATAGATAAACGATACCAGAATCATAGCCTGTTGAATTTCAGGATTTATTACTCTTGGATTTTTCCAAAATTTATATAATTTAGAGCACTCATTGGGTAATGATTGCTCCCTATGATCATCTTCATTGAAAATTCCTATAGCAAAATGTCGAAACTTCTGAATCTCCTTGGATCTTTACTTAAGAATTTCCATAATATCTTTAATTGATATCCTAGCATACAAAATTTCTTCAAAAAGTATTTCAAAATCTTCTGAATCTTCTCAGTTATATCTTTAATCTTCTTGGAGCGCCTCAGTTAATATTCGTATGTCGTTGTGGAGCTTCTCCAGATGTCTTCAGATATTCTTCCTTTGGAACACTATAAACAATCTTCTAGATTTACTTGAATCTCTTGAGATTTCCTGAAATCTTCAATATCTTCGGATATCTCCAAATTTTCTGCTCTTGGTATATACATATCTTCAACAAGTCTCCCCTTTCCTGGATCTTCCCAAATATCTTCTCAAATATCTTCTGAATCTCCTTGGGTCTCCTGCCTCAAATTAACTTGAATTTCTGGGAATCTCCTTAATATCTTTGGATATTATAAATCTTCCTCTGAGATACAAAATCTCTTCGAAAAGTATTCCAAAATCTTCCAGAATTTTCTCAGATATCTCTATAATCTTTTTGGAGCGTCTCAGGAATATTCGAATCTTGTTGAAGCTTGTCTTGATATCTTCGGATATTCTTTCTTTTGAACGCATTGAGTAATCTCCTAGGATATCCCATGAATATATTGGAATTTACTTGATTCTCTTTGAATTTCCTGGGATCTGTAACATCTTTGAATATCTTCGAACTTTCTCCTTTTGGGATACAAATATCTTTAACAAGTATCCCAAAGTCTCCTTTGGATTTTTTCAGATATCTTCTGAATTTCCTTAGATCTCCTCAAATTAATAAATTGGATTTCTGGAAATCTCCTTAATATCTCTGGTTACCCTGAAATTTTTTTTCTGGCAAAATATCTTCAAAAAGTATACAAAATATTCCTGAATCGACTCGAGCTAGATAAAGGTCCGATTTCTTGACCACATATTAAGGATAACGGCACGACTTAATTTTAACGAAAAATCATTGGCGGACACGGACACTAATCTGCACTGCATCTGCACTTCTGGGGACGATGTATTTGGTTAATACGTAGTCGCAGAAACATGTATGTGCTACTTGGGGTAATTGTCTCGTCTTTGTCAGTCAAATATATTTTTGCATGACAGAGACAAAGAGAGCATATTGCAAATAAAATCTATCTGCAAGCTTTATGCAACATTGAGAAAATTTATGTTTCCCATTCCAAAGTTTATATTGAAATATTTAGGTACCTAACGTTTTTTATTCTTGAAACTGTTAACGTACGCATGTAAAGGTATCTGCAACATTACAGCGACAGTTTTAAGAAAAGTTGAGCTTATAATATTTATGCAACCATTTATTTTATTATATATTTTCAATGTTATAAACGTAAATATTTCCGCAACATTAAATCGACAGAGTTGGGA